GAGGGGAAATGTCTATGGGAAAGACATTGGGCACATATGAGAGACCTCAGACATTTCTATCTGATAGCAGAATTATCAATAGGCTGAAACCAGCATAAAATAAAACTGCTAGCAGTAATTTTGCAGTGATTTGGTGAAGCCTAAGAGAAGAAAGCTGACATACAGAGAATGGCTGAGATGAGAACTCAAGAGGGAGTCCTGGTAGCATTCTATTCCTGGCTTGAGTTTACTTTCAGGATATGAATTTCAACAATTCAGTTATATAACTTTAAAAAAATTCCATTTGCCATTTGTAACCAAAGGAATTCTGACTAATTCTCATGTGGTATAAAGCAGTAAATTTCTTGAAATTAAGTTCCATATCTTAAACCCTCCAGTATCTGATGCCACCACGTGATTTTCTCTGAGTAGACCCAGAAGAAAATATTAAGAACTATTAATAGGTCTCTTATTTCAGGTCTCTTATTTCATTTAATATACATTAAATGTTTATTTTGAGTTCTATGTAGGGAAAGCCACGTAGAGAAATCTCCTAGATAACTGAATGAAACTCCAGGAACCATTTTTTGCATTTAAGAAATGCCTTCAGAATTATAAATCTGGAATTTCTATTGATCAGGCTGGGTAAACATCGGACAAAATTAAAGTCAAACCAAGAGAATAGTGAAGAACTATTCCAAGAAACCAGTATACTATTGTCCCAGAAACCAGTATACTATTGTCCCAGAAACCAGTATACTGGAGTCCTCCCAGATCCAGGAGCAGGGAGGCTAGGGCGTTTTTAAGGGAGCCAACTCCTACAAAGAGAACTCACAGCGTCCTGCAGGACTTTGACCAGAGAAGTATTGGGGAGTGAGAAGCCACTGGCTATTTAAGCAGCCCCTGAGCTTCACTTTCTCCCTGGCCTTTTATTATATTCATTTGTTTTATTATATTCATTTGTTTCAGTCATTCATTTGGATCTTCTTTGAGTACCTATTAGGCACTGGATACTGTCCTAGTGCTGCCAAGATAACTCACTGACTCCCTTTATATCTTTGATGCAACAGTGTTGTTCCTTGAGGTTACAGTTACGTGATCTGAGTATGGTAAGGGGTCCAGGGAAGGCAGTCAGACATACTGTACTAGGGGAAGTAGAAGTGGGTAGGGGAAAGGTAGGGACCTGTTCAAAGGACCCCAGCTACTAGTTGAGCTCTGAAATAGGCCAGACACCTGGGAAGGGAGACTGATCAGAGCAAGGACATTTGACATATTATAGCATCTTGGAACTTGCTAGGACTGAGCAAAAATATGTGTTCTACTACTCATAGTTGTCTTCTCTAGAATGTGTCTTTATTCAGGACATTGTTTGTGAAGATCTTCTCCTGTTTGTTTAGTTGCTTTTTGTGGAACCTGATTTTTAGTGAATTCACAATCCTACAGCCTATTCCCTACTCAGTGATTTACAAGCCAGTAAGGGCGATGGAGTCTTGTGTGTAATACATGTTCTATAACAAATCCCTAAAGAATTGAATCCTATCCAAAAGGAGAATTCAAATAAGTTTAAAGTGGATGCATAATAATAATGTAAAAGATACTTTTATCATTAAGTTGTGAAAATAAAACATGGTTTATTCATAAGGAGAAAACAACACTTTTGTGATTTACAAAGGAAACAGAGGGCCACATGGTCTAACCATTATGATGGGCCTATGCTGACTTCTTTATGGTAGGTTTCTCTAAATTTTAGTCTTCAGTTCTAAAATGAGTCCCATTTGACAATTAAAGAGGTCTGTGGCATTATAATAATGGTGTTATTTAATAGTAGAAAAAGAAACATAATATGAAAGTATTTATTGACATAGAATCAAGTATTTAAATACTAGCTATAAAGAGCCACTTTCTAGGACAAAGCCTTGACAGTATTGTGTTGTATTGGGTATTTAATAAATTAGATATTTATTAGAGGGGATTAATGAGTTTATTTTATACAAATAAGTTATATGAAATATTTGTAGGTATTCTACTCATTGGTTCTTAATGAGTTTATTTTATATAAATAAGCTATATGAAATATTTGTAGGTATTCTACTCATTGGTTCTTAAGGGGCTGTGATCCCTACAAAGACTTACAGTTTTGTAATTTCAGAACTCCTTGGGTCAGTTGAACTCCATATATACTCCTCTTGGGAAACTCTCTCTATTTTTTATAGATAATATCCAGAATTAAATTAAAAATTACTGGATATACCTACCCCCCAAAAAGACCAAGAGAAAAAAGAGACAATAGAAATATGCCCACAGTGGTGGGTATGCTGTGAACATACATCTGATGAGGTATGAACCTGTACCAATGAGTCACAGTGTTGTAAACTGCTTACCTCAGTGAAAAATAATCCATTTTTTTAAAAAGGATGAGGCAAATCTTTAAAAAAGAAAAAGAAATGTGTCATGAGTAATCAAGACAGTGGAATTATTAGGTACAACCTTTAAGTAACTATGATCAATATTTTTAGGAAATAAATATTTTAGCAGGGAATTGGCATCTGTATTAAGTAATTAAGTAGAAATTCCAGAGCTGGAAAAATGACCCCTTTTATTTACTCCCCCAAATGCCTTGAAATTAAGAACATACTAGATGGGTTTCACAGCATGTCAGAGCCATCTGGAGTAATGATTAGTTATCTGTAAGATAGATGAATAGAAAATGTCCAGACTGAAGCAAGAAGAGAAAACTAAGTATGGAAAATACAGAAAAAAAGCATAGATGTCATATGGGGCTAGGTGACAAGCCTTAAAAGCCATGTAATTGGAGTGCCTGAAGATGGAAACGGAAATGATACAGATGCACCTTTATCAAGAGATAAAGGACCTTTATCAAGAGATAAAGGTGAAAAATGTTTAAAACTGATTAGAGATAACAAACTATTCAAGACATAAAACACATTAGTATAAATACAAAGAAGTCTGTGGCATTATAATAATGGTACATGTAGGCATATCATAATAAAAGTTCTAACAGAGAACAAATACAGAATAAATACTCGTATAATTCAAAAGAAAGCAAGAAAAGAGAGAAAATGGATCACAGAGGGACAAGTAGAAAACCAGTGTTAAGAAGGAAGATATAAACTAAACTGTGCATAATTATATTTTTAAATACAAACTATCTTAATACTCCAATTAAAAAGCCAACATAGAAAAAACTGTAACTGTATGCTTCTGATTAAGAGACATACCTTAATTATAAGGAGTCAAAAGAGACTTTAAGCAAGAAGTAGACTACAGAGGAAATTTTAAAGAACCAACTCACCAGGAAGTTCTAACAATTCATATTTGTCTAAACCTAATAACATAACTTTAAAATTAGAGTACAGTACTGAAAAGGGATATGGGAGGACATGGCAATCCCACCACTATAGTGATTTTTTTTTAACCACTATAGTGATTTTAATGATTTTTTTCAGTAACATTTAGAAGAAAGAAACATCAGTAGGGATACAGAAAAATTAGAAAGTTTAATGAATAAATTCCCTGATCCATATAATAGAACAATGGATGCAACAAGTTCAGAATACATACTTTTTATATAAAAATATGTCTTAAATAATTTCAAAAGAACTAATCAGAAATAACTAGAAAATATCTATATATTTGAAAATTAAGTTATCCACATCCAAATATCCTACAAGAAGGGAACTTAAAGGAAATTTGAAAATATTCTAAATTGAATGATAATTAAACTATGATATATTAAAATATGTTAATGAGCTAAGATAGTACATAGAGGAAATTTTTTAATCCCTATGACATATATTAGACAAAGAGAGAGACAAATTAGGTAAATTATCGAAGCTTCTATCTTATGATAAAAGGAACAAAATAGACAGCTCTCTCTGCCTGCTTGTGTCTGTGCAAGCATCTTCTTCTCTCTTCCCTCCTAATAAACCTAACCTTTAAAAAATAAGTAAATAAAAGGAACAACATATTAAGAAGGCAGAATAAATAACATATAAAGATAAGAGTAAAAAATCAGTGAAATGAAAGAGAAAGAGAACAGATGAAATCAACAAATCTAATTGCTGGTTCTTTGAAAAGTCCAATAAAATTGATGAGATCAATCGTCTAAAATTGCAAGATTAATCAAAGAGAGAGTAAGGAAACATGCAAGGGAGAGAGAGAAAATACAGACTATCAAAGTATATACTACTAAAATGAAAAAAATAGTAAGCATGTTATTAATTAATCACTTTATGTTTAATTTGGATGAATAAAATTTACATGAATGGGCAAAATCTTGAATAACACTTATCAAAACAAATCTTAATAGTCCTATAGATTAGAAAATGAAATCTGGAATTGTCATTCCACAAAGAAAGCTTCAGGCCAATTGGCTTCACTGGTGAGTTCTTTCAAAAATTTAAGAAAGAAAAACAATTTCAGGTAAATTCTTTAATGGAATAAAGATAATGGAAATTGTTCCAACTTATTTTATGGGACCATAAAATAATGCCATCACCTAACAAGAATATTCTTGGAAAGCAGAGTGCAGAACAATCTCCCTCTTGATCATAAGTGCAAAATGTTAAAATGAAAATTGAAAAATTGAAGCCAGCAATTCATTAAAAATATATACACCATCCCTAGGTTTATTCCAGGAATGCCAAGTTAATATATTATTTGAATATCAGTGAAATCAGTACATTCACAGAGGATATCTATAGGGGTCGAGAAAATAACTGAAAGAAGTCAGTGCCCATTTGTGGTTTAAAAGGGAACAAAACAAAACCTCTGAGCAAGCTAGAAGATTTAACCCCTAAAAGAGATAAAAACAAATTCAGAATGTTTCCTATCCTGGGATATCACTGGGGAATGCTTTTATTATGAGTAGGATGAATTCCATGAACCAGTTGACAAAAACGTCCACAGTAACAGACCAGTGAATAATAATAGTTTTCATTTATTAAACATTTAATGTGTTAGACACTGTGCCAATACTTGATCTCATTTAATTCTCATAGAAACCCAAGAAGACATGGTATCTTCCCCATTTGACAGATGAGGAACTAGAGGTTCTGAAAAGGTAAGTAACTTGCTCAACATGACATAGCCAGATTTAAACAGATCTGTATGATTTTAGAGCCCAAGATTTTAACGAATGCAATTTCTGGGATGTTTCCTAAGGTATAGCCTCTCTGTACCATCCTGCAGAGATGTATAATAAGGAGGTTATCTGCCCCATTTTCTAGAGGGTCCTGCCCTTCTACTTTACACATCCTGTTCCCTTCACCTCTTCTGAGAGAGGCCCTTATAGCAATACCATGAGGGAGTGAGTAAGGACACAGAAGAGTTGGTGGTGCTGGTGGGTGAGCTTTGGAGTTGAACTGTCGTTTGAATCCCACTTCTGTCATTTAGTAACTAGGAATTACAGCAAATTAGTTTCCCAGAAACTTCGTTTCTTTAATGTTTTTGTTGTCAGTGGTGATGATTTGTCTGGATAATGAAACCTTGTGAAATGATGTGCAACTTCTTGTAAGTGCATATGTGCTTCTTTTCCAATGAAGAGGGATCATAATTTTCATAAGCACTCAAAAGGCGTTCTGCCCCCAAACTAAATAGAACTACAGCTTTACATGTCACAAAAAAATTATCAAAATAATTTTTTATGATTGCTGTGGATGAGTGGTAGCAACATATTAGCTAAACACTTAGAAATGCTAAAGGCTGGCTTCAAATAAAGAGTTTATTTGGCATATGTGTAAAAATAGGAAAGAAAATCTATATTCTCTACATTCGATATCTCTCTATATACGATAACATACATGTATGTATGTGTGTGTTTCCTAGATTCAAATTGATTTTATATCTGTAAAAATATCTCTAGAAGGCTATACACAAATTCTAAAACACCATTTACCTATGTGGAGAAAAACTAGGTGACTGAGAGCCCGGAATGGGAGAGAAATTTTTCATTTATATACTTTCAAACATCCCTTCTCAATTTCTGAAATTTGAACCATATTAATTCATTATATGATTAAAAAAACTTTAAAAATGAGAAAAGAGAATACCTTGTTTTAAATATTATTTATTCATTTACACAAGAACCGGGGTACAGGCCAGATGCGCAGGAGGGTGAAAGGATTTACCAGAGACAAAGCGGGGAACAGAACAGGCAGACTGACGAAATACACTGCTGAGGGGAGCAGCGGGCGCGGCAGGAGAGGTCTGCCGCACCCTGTGGGACCCTCGCCAGCCAGCTGGGATCGAACTGACACTGCAGAGGCTGTGGACAGCTTCAAAGCGCGGCGCTCAACTGCTGCGCCACCAGGGGAGGCCCAAGAGAATACCTTTTTAAAAAAGACCTCACAAAGTTAATATTTTGGTCAGTTTCTGAAACATAAATCTTAATTACCATGATTGAATTGACCAATTTAGATAAATATGGGACTAAATTAAACTGATATTTGCTAAGAGAGTAGAACATAATTGTTCTTCTGAAAAAAAAAAAAAAAGAGATAGACATAAGAGGTGATGGATGTGGAGGTTAATTTGATGGTGGGAATCCTTTCATAGTGTGTATCCAATCATCACATTTCTACTTTAGAGATCACATTTTTTAGAAATTTTATTTGTCAGTTACACTGGAATGAAGCTGAAAAAAGGACTAAACATCAAAGCCAAGAGTTTTAGCATACCTAAACAGAAGTAAAGACTAACTGGAACCTGCTAGCTTCTTCATTTATAGTAGTTCAGCTGTTCTGTGTCAGGTTGCCCATAAGTTTGGGATCTAATCATTTTTGGTGGCTTGAAAGAACTACCTTTAAGACCTGCAAATTTTTATGGAGCTTAATAGTCAGTTCATTTGAATCCACACTGGATGTCTGTTAGAGTTTGTCCTAAGCCTCAGGCATAGCACATGTGGTCATGGGCTAGTTGCTTTCTGTCCCTAGGGTGCAGGCTGCCTTCAATGTTAGGCCTTAACATTTGTTTAACTAATCAATTTGCTGTGTGACTGCATTGAGGCAGAAATAAGCCTTGTTAGCAAGCAGTCCATTAGGAGGCTGCTCACTTGGTTTAAGCCATTCTGGTTGACAACTGTACCAGTGAGGGATAGTTTCCTCAGGTCAGGAGCCTCCACCTGATCTATCTGGAGGGTTCTTTACATTTGACATTTTATGAAGATGTGAACAGGTTTATTCAAAATGACTGAGCTCTGCCTTTAATTAGAATTTCACAAAGTAGTGATGTATTATAAAGTATACACAATGGATTCTGATATCTATTTTTAGTACCATCTCATTAGGAAACTGGTGACAACCCAAAGGTCTGGATTATTTTTCTTCTTCTGTGTTTGGGGATTTTTTGGATCCTACAAGAACTTGCCCTGTACCATTTTTTGCTGGATATTTGCTTCTCTCTTCAGTGTTTTTACTACTTAATTCTTAATCTCTTACCTATAATTTGCTTAAAGTACCATCTTTAAGTGCTTTATGACCACTGTCTGTCCTCCCTTGCCCCCACCCATGCCACTATTCTTAGTAAAATACTGAGGACTTCTGTTCCCACTAATTGGGCAGGACCGGAAGCAGCCTCTGCTCTTGGTGCCTCCAGCCTGAAGCTTGTGTGTGTTCTCTTGGACAGCTGCCTTCTCTTAGCAGCACCAGTGCCTTTCCCTTCTGCCATGTCTATAGAAGGGACATTTCAGATCACTTAGGGGAAAAGAGTCACTGCCATTACGAAAGGAGGAGAAAACTGATCTTGCATTGCTCATTTGCCGTGAGATATGGCCAAACATTGCACTGGTCAGGACTAATTTGAGGGCTTGCTGTTTAATTAGGTCCTTTAGGCTAGAGGCTGTGAACCAAGAGGATGGGGAATCCTAACCTGCCTCCTGCTGATTGCCCTCATTACCTCTAGAGCCCCCCAATGAGCTTGTTGCTTTAGTGTTTTGGCCTTGTAACTGAAACCTAATTCTATCATTCTCACTTGTTTTAAATTTAATTCCACTCAAGTGAAGTCATGAACCTGGGGCATTATGAGGGATTCCTGGCAAAAGAAAAATAGATTTTCCAGAAGCCTCCATGTGTGGTCTTCAGCTCACCATTAAATCACATCCAGTACTTGCTATCCCAGTTTGCACCCTCTCATCTCAGTGTTATTATGGATTTCAGATTATGGTGCAAGTGCTGGGAAAATGTGGACATCTTGGCCCTAAAGTATTTTTTGCTAGACTCTGGGACCTGCTTCTGCTCTTCCTTTGCCTTCGACCATTAGGGTGATGGGTTAAGGCGCGTATATTGCATATGTCAGTTCTGTAAGAAAGACAGGTGAATAGTTCAAGTCATCTCACACAGGGTCTTCTTTACAGAGATTTGTTTCTGTTAAGGAAATTTGAGAAGGGCAGAAACCCTCCGCTTGCTAACTTGCAAATGGCATATCCCTCAGCCAGCAGAGTCCAGTTTGAACCCTTCCACTGCAGTTGGCAGGGGGCCCAGGTGGTGGAATCTCTACCCAAACACCAAGCCAAGTATCCTCAGGGGAAATGTCTATAAAACAGGGTTTCTTTTGTAGCCCCTAAAGGCAAGAAGAAAACCCCCAATCTTAATGGCTACTGTCAGGTGAGTTCCTGGTACTGGGAGAATTATCAGGCTTTTCCATAGGACATCAGTGCGGGAATCCAGGTAGACTATACTGCTGGAACTTTGTGAGCCTCAATTAGGGGAAGGACAGTATATACAAGTATTGGGGTGGGTATTTAAAAAAATAATTGCAGTGTAGGAAACAACTGAATGATCACAGATCCTTGCCCTTCTCTTTCCATTGGGGAACTAGAATGCCAAGAAGTTCTTGTCCAGCCACAGTGCAACACACACACACACACACACACACACACACACACACACACACAATTACAACTCCCTTGAGGTTCTGGTTCCCTATTCTGGAGAGGAATAGATAGCTGGATATGACAGGACAAGAACACACTCTGCAGCCAAACAAAGCACCACCACGATTGACTTACTCCTCAATTTTGCAAGTGGCTTAACCTCTCAGAGCCTCCATCTCCTCATCCTTAAAATGGGGATAGTTAGACCCACCTCACAGGATGTTCTGACATTGAAATGTATAAAAATAGATGGAATAACTCCTGGCATCCCATAGGAGCTCAGTATTATGACTGTTCTTTGGGGGAGGAGGGATGGCATCCTTTCTGTCTCCCCACACTTTTACCTTGGTGCACAGAATAAGCATTTTGCCAACAGAAACATGGGGAAGAAGTCCTGCCTGTCGCCTGCCCCTCACTCTCCTGCCAGGAACAACTTACCTGATGGGGGAAGACTCACAGAGGAAATGTTTCTGCTGAGCACATTCTTTTTTTCAGCTTCTACTTTCCTTCTTGTAAATTCAGCCAGTTCAGACCTAGCGCGAGCACTGTTAGACTTGCCAGCACATTGGAATTACCGGGGAGCTTTAAAGTATGTACTATTGGCTGGGTCCAAACTCGAGATTCCGAGGTCATCACTGTGGGGTGTGGCTCAGGCATCAGGGGTTTTATAAGTTCCCAGTGACTCTAACCTGCTACCTGGTAGGATAGCATTGTTCTAGAGGCTAGAACGATGCGTGATGTCTTGTTTTTCTCTGTTTGACTCTTTCCTGAAAACTGTGAGTGTTTCATGCTCTGTGGCACTTCACACAACAGGCTGGGGACGCACCTGCTCTGCAGACCCAGTTGTCCCACATCAGACCTCAACAATCAACTGGAAAGAATGTAGTAGATGTCTACTACATTGAATGTAGGAGATGTCTTCCTCAATCACAGGGGTCAGTTAGTTTCAGCCTTAAATCCAGTTTGACCAGATGTTTTACAGATAGAAACAGTGCCCTATGAAACTGGTATGAATCAAACTGGGAGGTTGCTGACAATTACCGCCACTCCTCCATTCCTGAGTTGTCCTCCATGTGAGGGCCCACATCATGGTCCTCCTCACTGTTTCTGACGTAGTTTAGAACCTCATTGGCACAACTGCTGCCCTCTGCAAATGGGGCAAAGCAAGGCTATTCTGAGCTGCCTCAGCAGCA